GGAGGGAGCTGAGGAAAACCATGTTGGAGGGGAGTCATTCCTCTACCCAGCACAGACAGGGTTGCAGCTCACAGGGAGTGTAACAGAGGGGTTCTCACTGGGGTAAGAGAAACTCCCTTTGAGGTCATCGGGTTCCAGGGAATTGGGTTGACTATGGCAGGATTTGTTTCCTGCCCTCATCCCTGTGACTCCCCGAGGCTGAGGCTGCCTGGGCTACCCTGTGCAAAGTGCTGCTGCTGAATTACTTGTTCTGAAAGCAAAATGAAAATCCTGCAGCCACTTTCCTCTGCGTCCCGTTGCTGTCCATGTCATCTCACTCCTCAAGCATTCCCTGCCTCAGTCCCTTCCTAAAACTAATGGTTCACTCTCTCATTTTTATTTTCAAGCACAATAATAGTTTTAATCACCTATTGTTGCCGTTGGACACCTTGGCTGTGTCACAGCAATCTTTGTTCATTGATCTATTTGGAGTGAAGCAGGATGTTAATGATGGCTTATCCTTTGTGGTGTAACAAGTACCTTTTACTAATCCAACAGTGTAAAAATTGAAAAAAAGTCCCCCTTTTCTCCCCCCCCAGCCCCTAAAACAATCCCAGGCAGCAAGGGCAGTGTGTTGCTTGGGCTAAGGCTGGGCTGTTAGCTAAATTAAGCCATTGTGACTCAAAATCCTCCTTTAATAAGGTTCATGCTGTCTACAACTTCATCATTTTCTGCTGAATGATAATTACTTTATTCAATCATGTTCAAGGTTTTAGTGAAAGCTAGCATTGATTGATTAACTTCAATTACCATGCTTACATTTGCATAGATAAAAACTGCTTTTCAATTTGTGAGTGGCACGCTGGTGGAAACCCGGCGCTGGTATTTGCATTTCAATGTGGATGGCGAAGAATAAAGGTGGGAGAGAGGTCTGATCAGTGCTAAGCCCTTTCTGCTTCAGTGCTTGAGCATTTTTCCATAAACACTCCTGTTATGATGTTAGTTTGCTCGCGCCGCTGCGAGGGAACCGGGAGCTCCTGTTTACAAGGCTCTGTGACAATTGAACAGTGCGGGGCAAGCAGAGCTGGAATCAAAGCAGCCAGCAGGGCACAGGTGCTGTGGGTACCTGGGGAAGTTCCTGTGAATTACCCAGGGCAGTTGCTGTGACTAATCCAGGGAAGTTCTTCCTTCACCAGACAAATTGCACATTCCTGTGGAATCCTTGCCAGCAGCCCCTGTGGTCACTGGCCTCAGCTCCTCACTGGCCTCAGCTCCTCACTGGCCTCAGCTCCTCACTGGCCTCTTCACTCCCTGCCAGGTTTTGATGCAAAAAGCTGGTTGTTAGGATGGGAAGAGCGAATGAAAGCCCTTCCCTGGGGGGCTTTACTCCCAGAGTTCACTCTTATCACTGAACAGCTGAAGTGCAGGGCAGCACTGCTCATCCAAAGCCAGAGAAAAGCCACATTAATGTCACATTTGTGGCCAGGTCCCTCATCCTCGTGGTGTTTCCTCTCACTTGCCATCAGAAATGAGGGGGTCAGGCTTCTTCAGGTGCTTGTCCAGTTCACTGCTGCCTCCAGCATTCCCCACATTCCCCTCTGGATCTGGCAAAGCTGAGTCCCAAGAGAACAGATGCTGCTTAAAATCAGGGTGATGGTTTGTGCACGTTGCTCACCTCAGAGTAGGGACAAGGAAACGGGTCTTGCTCAGGTTTCCTGTTTCAGGCAGGATATCAGTTTTGTGCAAATCTTCAGAATCAGCTTGAAAAGTAATTAATAGAATCACAAAACAGTTTGGGTTGGAAGGGATCTTAAATCCCATCTCATTCCACCTCCTTCCACAAGGAACTTGCCCCAACAGTTCTCAGATGTGAGTGAGCTTTTGGCAGAAGAGTAGCTCAGGGCTTGGGGGTTTGGTTTGGGTTTTTTTAAATAGGAGACAAAGGGACTGATTTAGGGATTTCCCTTAGATTTGCTCTGGTTTACATACAAATATATCTAAACAATTTAAAAAATAAAGCAAGTAAAATACTAAACCACTTACTACTCTCCCATTTAGCCCAAAGGTGGAGAGTTTTTTGCCGGGGGAAGGACACAGCAATGACACCAACCCTGTACCAAACTGCACCAAAGCAGCCCAAAGGAATTGCCAAAACATTTGTTTTGCTTACATGACTTTTCAGAAGTGGCTGCCCTGCTCTGTGTCAGGCAGCTCAGGAAGTTTAAAAGCATTGCACATAGAAAGAGGCAAGCAAGGGAAAGAGAGGCCAGTGGCTGCAGTTTGTGCCCAACCCTCGTGGTGAGTGGACTTGGACGGACATTTCTCGAATGTGCAAAATAAACTTCGGAAAAAACCCTTCTCAGCCCCCTTTAGTTCACCACTCCAGCAGCTGGGTGAGGGCCAGGCCCATGGTCAGCGCCTCGGGACAGAGGGCAGATGGACACTGACCTGCTGGTTTTATTGTCCCTGAGAATGTTTGGTTTAAATCCCTCAGAGGGACAAAACTCCAGCGTGTTCAATGTCCCGACGACTTCACAATAGGAAGGATCCGTTTGTTTTCCAGATCCTAATGCAACGGTTGCCATAAGAACACAAATTATGTGTACATTTTAATGCATCTATGCTTCATAATTATGCATGGTTGTGTGCTGTTATAATTGACATAAAATATAAAACAGGTCAAAGAGCAGCTATTAAAACTATTTTTCATTTTGCTTCCTGACAGCTCCCGACATCAATGCCGACTGCATTTAATAGGACCATACAGGGAATGCAAAGATAGTTATATAATTTCAACCATATTAAAGCCTCCACAACTTGCAACCTAATTATTTCCTGCAGTGTCTTGTTGTGAGCTGCATTACTTTATTTGGAATGTGTTCAGTTTGAGATTAAACAATTGGGCCACATTAAATTAGCATGAAGGGGGAAAATCATAAAACTTTTGGATGTATTTCATAGGGGTCACTCTGTTAGGTTAAGAATTATCCCAGGAGCAATGATTTTCTGCCACTCAAGATAAAAAACAACGTTAGAAATGCGCTAATTCCATGCAGTTATTTTAATCACTGAAGTAAATTCTACCAAAGGGCTAAATTGTAGTTGTACCCTCACTCTGATCACAGAATGACACAGAGAATAAAAGAAAACTGAGGAAAAATTGATGAATTTACAGAATCATAGAACCCCGGAATGGTTTGAGTTGGAAGGACCTTAAAGTTCATCTCATTCCACCTCTTGCCATGGGCAGGGACACCTTCCACTGGACCAGGTTACTCCAAGTCCCATCCAGCCTGGCACTGATATCCCTGCTCTTGGTCCTGGCTGCATGAAGGCCAAGCAGCAGGGTCCAACCCCCTGCTTCACTCATTGATCCTCTTCTTGCTCTGGAGTGGTCGAGAGCTCCTGTTCCACTGGGTGTGGTTGGCTTTCTTTTGGAATCTGTGCTGGTCTGTATTTTTTAATAAACCCTTTTAAAGTCAGGTTTGGTGGGGACACCTCATGTGGGCCGAGGAACACCAGTGGCCATGGTGAGCCCCAGAGCCTCTGCCCATCCCGTGTGTGCCAGGCAGAACCAGAGACCCCGGTGTGTCGGGGTCCCTGCCAGGGACCTGCTGCCCTGCCGCTGCAGATGGTGGGCATGAGGAGAGTTCTATGAGCTGAAGTTCTGCTCCATGGGACCAGAGTTCAGCAAACAGCAGCAGTGCCCTGGCTGAGGTGTCAGAGCTGTGCCGTGCGTTGCTGTGTCTCGGGTCGCGGCCGCGATTGATCGGGGAAGCGGCGGGAGCAGCTAATGAGTATTGGCACTCCTTGCCTCGTGTGCTCAGTCCACTTAGAGCCTGGATATTTCAGGAGGCTGGTAATGGGCTGGAGAGGCCCTTTCTGTTCTAGCTGGCTGACTCAAGTCCAGTTCGTGGGTACTGGCTGAAAGTTATTGCCCAATTTGTGGCGGATGAGGAATAAGATCAGTCCAATTTTCCAAGGTAGAGGCAGCCCCATCCCAGAGAGAACCATCATAAATGGCCCTTGTTAGCGACTGGACAGGGAGCATGAGGGCTGGAGGGGGGGGTAAAGGCCAGGCTCAGCTGATTGAGCATGTTGGCTGTGGAGCATGGAAAGGTCTGTGGCCCTTCTGTCTCTCTTCAACAGAACAAAGGTCTTCTCGTCTCAGGAGAGATCTGTTGTGTTCCACTCTTACTGCCTTAATTTGCATTTGGGTTCTTGCTTCTGATGGCTTTCTTTTCTTTGGCAATTTTCACAAAACATTCCCCTTTTTGCACTTTTCCAGCTCCATGTCTGCCCAGGAAAATAACGATCAACCCCAGAGTCACTGGTTCCCCAGATCCAAACAGGTTACCTCACTCGTGCCAGTGATGAGGCTCTTCCCAGGGTCAGTGACATTCAGAGAATCCTTTGGGTTGGAAAAGCCCTCCCAGCCCATGGAGTCCAGGCATTCCTTGGACACCTCCAGGAGTGGGGACTCCAAACCTCCCTGGGCAGCCCCTTCCAAGGCCTGACCACCCTTTCCAGGAGGAAGTTCCTCCTGATGTCCAACCTGAGCCTCCCCTGGCACAGCCTGAGGCCGTTCCCTCTCCTCCTGTCCCTTGTTCCCTGGGAGCAGAGGCTGACAACCCCCTGGATCCAGCCTCCTTTCCAGAGCCTTTTAATGTGGTGCTCAGTTTGCTGCCCTGATTTGGGAGCCTGAGCTGGGCTGGGCTGGGCTGAGCTGAGCCGAGCCATGCCACCCTGTAGGCTGGTGATTAACTGGGCTTTGGCTTTTCCGTCCTCAAGCACAGCTTCACACTCCCAATCCTCTGAAGTGAAGATGGAGAAGCACATAAAAGCTTCGGATTCCATTACTGTAAAATGTATCAGAAAAGTGTTGAGCTCGGTAATTACCTTAATCCAACCGCAATAGTTGGTCAGAGCACACATGAGATGAGCATCCAGAGTCAGATTTGAACACCCAGTCAACCCGAACAGAATTAGCTCGGCAATAGTGGCCCGGATTTCTTAATTAGTTCTCGGCGGCAAGAACATTTAATGTTGGCAAAAGTCAAGTGCAAATCCTACAAGTGACACGATTTGAGGAGGGTGCCTTGAGCCCGGGCCGTGCCCTGCTGGTGGGGACAGCAGCCAGGGCTGACCCTCACTTTACTCCCCTCTCTCAGGGTCCCTTTAAACTTCCACAGACCCACAGTAAAAAGTAATGGTATGATTAACTTCATAGTAATAACCCATTGCATTCAAAATACACATTTAACTCTAATTTTCATTGAACTACACAGCAGCTGAAAATGTAATGGCCATTCCCAGGCAGCTGACGGCACATTTTAGTGCACTGTAATTGGCTCTCTCAGCTTGTCTCGGGTTAATAAAGGAGATGGGACTCACGAAAAAGCACCGTGGTCACTTAGCAATTGTTTAATTTGTGTAACGCTGGTTTTTGGGTTAGAAAATTATTGTTTTCCAGTAGTGTTAAATATTTATGGGATGCAATTGAGACACATGGCACAGGGCACGCTCCCGCTATGCTCACAAATTAATAAGTTTCTGAAAAAATGGAAATGCAAAATAGCATTTCAAGTGTAAAAAACGGCTTCTCAGCTTACAGAACATTTGCACCGCTGAGGTTTTATGTTATTGCAGAGGATGGACAAATACTTTGGGCCAGTAGAGGTGATTATGACCTTGCTGCCATTCAGGTTGGCCCATCTGTGCTGGCTGGGGGAGGTGGGTAGAAACTCAAGCTCTCTTGAAAATCTGCCCCTCTCCTTTGGTATCTGTGAAGAGAGAATGGCAACACCAGGAATTATCTTCACACTAGGCCAGAATATTCCCTGGTGAAAGCTGTCATGTCCTATCAGATGATACTGCTCTGATACAAGGAAAGATTCAGGTAGTGTACCTTCTTTAAAATATAAAAAAGCCCCAACTAGTGGAATTGCACATTTTGAGCAAGAGAATAAATGTTACAGGCAGCAGGAAAAGGGAAAAATTTTAAGATGTGTGTGGAATTAAATTTAATTTGTGTCATCCCTGGTTGGGTTTGGGTAGGGTTGGGTTATGTTGGGTCGGGTTGGCTCGGGGTTGGGTTTTGTGACTTTGGGGTTGTGTGGTTTGCCAGATGGGGGTCATAAGAACTCACGGGTTGAAAGGGCCCCCAGCTTCCCTCGGCTCTGGCAGCTGGGAAAACAGCAGGGGCCCTGCTGCCACCCACAGAGAGAGGGCTCTGGGTGCTGCAGACCTTCCTCTTTCCACAGCACCTCTGGTATTTCCAGTTCCCTGGTGGGGAACACCCACCCCGGGTGGGCCGGGAGGGCCAAGGGCGAGTGAAAGGAGACTATTTTGTTCCCTATGTGGGTCAGCAGCCTCTGCCAGCAGGAGTTGCAGCGTTTGAGCAGGGCCTGGTCCAGGATCTGCACACAGGTGACCACCCTGCCCACACCACGGTGGGGTGGTTGTGGGTGGGGGCTGAGAGCTTGGGGTGCTCCGAAGCACCCCGGTGTGCCCGTGCCCTGTTTTCCAGGCAGGAGTGTCCAGCCCAGCCTTGCAGAGGTCTCTCTATTGCCATTTCTATTTATGTTCCCTGTTCAACCCCCCCGCCCCCCTTTGCAGCAATTGTGTCAAATGCCACAGCTCCCAGCCAGGCTCCAGGAATGCTGCAGCTGAAGAGAGCTCGGGGCCCTCGCTCAGCCACGGCCTGGAATTATGACATCTTTTGTCAAAGGCATCTTCCCAAAACCGCTGCAATTTCTGACCGAGAAATTAGATTGTCTTTTAAAGTAATATAACAGTGGTGCAGTCTTTGCCTCTGTGACCCCTCTCATTTCCTGTGGGGTTGAAGCAGAGGCCTCCAATTTAAAACCTATTATACTCTGGGGACGGCTTCCACCCTCTCAGCCACGCAACCGCTGCCCTGTTATTTAACACTTGTTGGGTTTGCTTTGCATCACCTGCTAGTTCAGAGAAGGTGGTGCAGGTCTGCTGCCTCTGCTGTGCTCTGCCTTGTGCACCTCTCCTGTCAGCCTCACCAAATAATCAGCATTTATTGTTTTTAGCAGAAACATGGGTGTATTCAGTTTTCTAGAAGAAAAAAAAATGGCACCTGAACTTCATTACAAGAGGAAGTGCCTTAAGGATGCACAATTTCTTGGTGCTTGACAGGAGGAAGATGTCATTAGGGACTTACTGATTTTAGGCACAGCCCTTGTGCTGGCTGCCCCAGCTGGGCTGGGGGCTTTGGAGGGGGTTGGAGATTGGAGATGAGATCGGAGCCTTACACCTGTTACATGGGACATGGAACCTGACAGCACTGTCCCCAGATGTTTTTCCTGGCAGTGCAGTCTCCAGATGTTTTTCCATAGCAGCATCTTCTTTGTCTTGAGCAAGAGGTGAGGAGGGTTCAAAAAAAGTGACCAAAAATCTCATCAGCTTTCTGATTGGGCCATGTAAATAGCAATCCCTTCTCGGGCTGGAGCACGGGAATGGGCAGTCTCTGGGGGCAGGAACTGATCCCTT